TTAATATATTCTAAGAGTTTAATATGAATCCATTCTTTAACCACCAGAGTTTAAAATGTTCTCTCATCACTTTACTAATCAGCTTTTTCTAACTCTTCTTTACCATTGTTGGGAATAAAACATTTACATCTGAATGGTTTGAAATAGATAATGTTCTTCAACTTTGATCCAATCTAAACTCTATTTATAACATAACATACCATGTTAATACTCTCAACCCATAAGTGTTTAGATATATCACTATTTTGCCAACAAGCTTTTAGATAGATCAATTAAGGTCATATTTTTCTTCTCAATGACTCCATTTAGTTAAGGAGTTTTAGGTACTGAAAATTTGTGTGTAGTTCCTAATTCATCAAAGAATTTTTAAAATAAAGTAATTTAAAATTCACCTTTGTGATCACTTTTTCTTCTTAAATGTATATGTAGATCATTTTGTATTTTCTTTGTAAACTTTACAACCTAATTAAAACCTTCATTTTTTCTAAGATAAAAATAACACTAGAGCAGGTTCCCCATTAGACATATTGTAGAGTGACTAGTGAACACTAGATGAAATATGGCAAACATTTCATATATAAGATAAAATTCAAAATTCAAAGAGAGAATGATGAGCCAATGAGCTACCAAGCGATAAAAGATCAATTTAGAAGCTCTAGAACACCTATTGCCAATATGATTTCCACACATTTGAGAGAAAAAATAGGTTATAGTATCAATAATTAAAAAGTCTTATTGAGCTCATCTTTAAACTCCTTGGTTTATAGTCATGGAAGCCTATCACCATTGAGAACTGGTGTGAAGCAAAAAGCATGAGCTAAACCCAGGTCACTGGGACTTAGATGCCTAAAGTGAAGAGGCCAGTGGACTAGATCAAGCAGCATAAATGCACTAATGTTGTGTGCATTCAAGGCAACCATTCTATGAGCCTCTTTTTGCAGACCAAAGCATTATTAGTGAAGGCTGGCCCTGAGTTGCACAATATTCATGGTTAGAGATGTTTGCTATGAGCTCCAATGTCATGTTCTTTATAACACCATTGTTTTTTTCATTCAAAGATGTTTGGGGCTCTACATATTCAATGTTGAAATTATTCAGGATTTTGTTCATGTTGACATGGAAAGTCAACCATCACGACTACACAAATATTTTGTGACATCATGAAGTACATGAATAGTTACATATATGGTTATATCACTTGAAACCAGCTATCTATCTTTTTTTACTTTCTACAAAAAAATTAGGTCGGATATATATATATAATTGTGGGTGTTTTTAATATTTAGGGTAGGGGAGTCTACACAACTGTTACTAAGAGGTAAAGGAAATAAGAAAATCAATTGCCACTAAGTAATGCATTATAAAACATAAACTGATCTTTGTTGTTTCTGAGCAACTTATTGGAATGGCTGCAAACAACCAACCCAAAATGATGCGAGATAAAGAGCGAGAATAGATCTCCTTTAAAAAGAGCTACACATTAATCTTTAAAGGTGATTAAAATTAGAATTTTAATGGCTTCATATTTAGATAAATTTATAATTTTAAGAGAATTAAGATCATTAATTACCTATTAGATTATCTAATTCAAAGAATCAAACAAGGCTTCTCAACTAGGGTTAGGACCATCAATCTTTCACACACAGGTGGCTATTCTATGAATCTCACAAATCCTAAGAGCAAAGATTTAAAACTAATGACCAACTTCACAAATAATTTAAAAATCAATACACCTTTGCAATAAAGATTTTTGATATCTTGAAGATTATTGTTGGTTCAAGTGGTTTGAGATCCACAAGCCTTATTGAGGAATTTTCAATGGGTGATGATTCAAGAAAATGAGTGATTTGGGTTGGGTAGTTAAGGTCTACGAAGTATTTGGATAATTTAAAAATATAAGAGAGAAAAATGTGTAAATGAGGAATAGTAAAAATAAGAGAATAAAATAATGATGGGAATAAATAATAGTCAAAGAGGCGATGAAAGGAGTGGAGGAACCCCCAGTCCAAGGGGCTAATGAAATTCCTTGGATGATGATGAAATTCAAAATTTTATTTTCTTGCTGCCCTTAATTCCTATCAAGAGATTATGGAATAGTTGTGCAGTATAAAACTTGAGAACAAAAATAGATGTTTCCTTGGATGAGAGGCCATCAGGGTATTGGAAATATCGCAAACCCCACAATTGACAATAACTACATCACCAAGTCTGCATTCAATATGTTTTAATCATCAAAACCTACTCCACCATGGTTGACTAAGGTTAGTTCAACATTTAACACTAAATATTTAAGACATTCGACTCTTGCAGGCATGTCAAGGATAAAGATTGGGAGAAGGTTTTAAATCAGGAAATCAATGTTATTGAAAGAGAAATACGGACGAGCTATTGGGTGCGCCAGAGATAAAGATATCAGTTCTGTAAAACAAATTCGAAAAAAGTGAGGGTTCTAACGCGTGGATCGATGTATATAAAAGATGAAGATGAGGATCGTTGAAAAGAGCCGTCACCCTCGCACACACAATCTCCCTCTCAGATCTCATCTTTGTCTCTCTCTCTCTCTCTCTCTCTGCGTCTCTGTCTCGTTCTATATGAAGAAACAGAGACATGCACATGCAATTATGAGTGTGCGTCTCTTTGTGCGTGAGCGCGTGTCTGGGTGCGTATCCTTCCTCGACGTCCGGGCATCCGGGAAGTGTTGAGAAATTTGTAAGAAGGTAATGAACAAATACAGGCCATCCGCTTTGAAACCCAAGAAACTCGCGGAGGCCCATTCGATTATGATGTTCAAACGCGCACCCTTTAAAGAAGAAAGAGTAAGAATAATCATATGGGAAGACTCCGGCGGGAATCCCCGGATTGTGTCATCGAGCCGTCCAGCCACCTTGGAGAGCGGAGTCTTCAGGCGCTCGTCTACTTAGCTCCTCACAGCCTCGCCACGACTTGATCTGCGGGGCGGTTGAGTCCGGGGATGCATTCCGAGAGTGCGGCCACGAGCCTTCTCACGTCTTCCGAAGAATGCCCTGTCGTCAGGGTGACCCTCAGCCTGGAAGACGCAAAAATCATCGACTAGGGTCAGGGGTACTGGAAGACGGCGGGGGAAGGGGGGGCAGTGGCAGGAAGAATGAAGAATGATGGGAGAGGAAGGGAGAGGAAATGAGAACTCACCGGCAGGCGTCGGGGGCGACAGCCGGCGGCCTGATGGCGATGATGTGGAAGCCACGCTCCAGCATGTGCTTGCTGGCATAGATAGCGGCGTCCTCGGAGCCGACCACCAGCGAAAGGATGGGGCTGGTTGCGGGGTGCTTCGTCAACGTCGCGAATTCCTGCACTCTGTTCCACAGCGCTTGCCTGCGCCAGACCTCCTTCTTGGCCACCGTCACAGCAGCTGCAGGGGATCAACGCGCGTAGAGAAAAATTGCGTTAAATATATGACGCAGGGCAGTGGTGACAATCACGCGGTTAAGTCTATCTGACGAAGAAGAACGGACGACTAGTGGCGGAAGGAATGGACGCTGCGATCAGTACCGTAGGCGCCCGCGATGACGGGTAAGGGGGAAGCTGTCGTGAAAATGTAGGGACGGCCCGTCACCCGGACCAGGTCCGACCATTTTTGGCTGCAGGCCACGAATCCGCCCAGGCATCCCCCGGCCTTGCTCAGTGTCCCGACGATGACGTCGATCTGATCTTCGATGCCGTAAACCTCTCCGATACCGCCGCCATTCCTCCCGCACACAAACGCCGTATGCGCCTGTAACGCGGCGAGGGTCAGTCCGGATCGGGAGAGGGAGACGGTAAAGAAGACGGCCCCGACGCCCAGAGAACACAAAGCGAATGACTCACTTCGTCGATGACGAATAGGAACCGGTGCTTCTTCCGGAGTTGCACGAGGTCAAGCATCGGCGCGAAGTCCCCTTCCATGCTGAACAAGCTGCGCCATGCAAAGAAAGGAGGAGGCCTCTTAGCACGGAAGCTTCACAGGAGCAGCGAGAAGAAGATGTTGCCGAACGGAGATCGGTCGCCGCTATCAACTCAGTCTGTGTTACCTGTCCGTGATGACCACCTTCCTCTCGAGAGGGCAGTTTGAGAGGAGCTCGTCTAGATGCTGCATGTCGCTATGCCTGTACACGGAAACGACGGTTTGATGATGCCGCTCCATCATCCGGAGGCCGTCGATTATGGATGCGTGGTTCAAGGCATCAGAGAACACGGCGATCTTCTCGTGCGCCGCCGGCCTCCTCGACGCAGCGTTATGAGTGGCGACGCCTCCGAGCGCCGACAGGAAGGCAGTGTTTGCTGCGAATCCGGTGGGGGTTACGACGCACGCCTCCTTCTTGTGCATCTCCGCCAGGACATTCTCCAGCCGCCGGTGGTACTCGGTCTGGCCACTGGCCATAGCTGACGATCGCGGACCCATTCCGAACGCCAGAGCCGCCTGTTCGGTATTTGTGTACAGAATCAGAATCGGTCACCGATTACCGCGACGCGCGACGGACATTATTCTACCTCCAACGGGGGCGAGCTCGAAAGCCTACCTTCGCGGACGCCTTGCGGACGGCCGGATGGGTGCTGAGGTTGAGGTAGTCGTTGGCGGAGAAGAGGAGCATCCGGTTCCGAGCCGGTTCGCCGTCCTTCGCCGGGGCCGTGGGGTCCTCCACTTCCACCTCCAGCAAGGTCCGGTCCCAAGGGCCGGGGCCGTCAAACGTCTCGACGTCGGCCAGAGGATCCTCCTCGGCGCTGGGCTTGGCGAGGCACACCTTGGGCAAGTAGCTCAAAAAGTTGTTGTTGACCCTCGCGAATGCCCTGACCACCCACTCTTCCCACATCGCTTCAACGGACGCCATGCCTGCTCGTCGTGCTGGTTAGCGGTAGGATCGCGTAGTGGCCGCCTTCACGCCCGGGGGATTCTGGCGAGATAGGAAAGAGTAGTGGCTCGATGCAGGCGTTGAGCTCCGGATGGGTACAAACCTTTGCCCGTCGTTGCCTCTTTATGTAGGAGGATGCCCTCGAATGTCGCCGGGCCGTGGACTTTCTCGGCTCCGCGGTCCAGCATCTTCTCTGGTTGAATAGCGGCGACGTATCGCATTCCGGACGCCTATGTTGAATCCCGGCCAGTCCACTTTGGACTTGGACGCCGGTTTCGCTGCCTGAACGCCGTTCGCGAGTGTTGACCGCCGGAACATTGCGGATCCTAACCGTTGGGATGGAGACGGAGATGTAGGACCCCCGGATGGATGCTCGCCGGGCACCACCGGTAAACCTAGCACCATTCGCGACCGGTAAAGCCGGAGAGAGAGAGAGAGAGGGTCAAAGCTTACCACTAGTAAAACAAATACAAAAGGGCAAAAATGAAAAAGATCTGGAAAAGGGAGAAATATTCGGGGATAAACTGGGAGCCGGGTAGATCAATCTATACCGAAGTATTTACATGAACCGGAGGGGTTGGTTTCATTTAAGAGGAATGATGGACAGAAGAAGAGCCCCAGTGAATGAGAACCCGTGCATGCTATCCTGGGTCACTGCGTCCGTAATAAATTAACAAATTGACGGCCGTGTAGTCGGTTCAAAGGCCCGATAAAAAAAGAATCGGCAAAGGGCCCGTCAACTTTTGACGGGGACGTTTCTTTTTCGTACTATGAATGTAGTACTCCACTTTGACCGTCGTCGGCAACTGATAATTTCGGATAGTGACGTGTCTGTTATGTGACTTACTCATTGTATATTAAATCATATAAATTTAAAATTTATAAAACTAGAAAGTATTAATTTTAGAACTTTTAGAATTATATCCACAAAAATAAATAAACGGCTCCAAAGCTAGTAGAAAAATTTCAAATTGATCATAATGGTGTAACATAATGTTAAGAAAAAATTAATAATTTTTATTAAATAATATGTTTTAATATGATTTTTGAACTAAAATATTATAAGAAAATCCTTTTAAAATTTAGATAAAGAAGAAAATTCGTGCGCTTACTTCAGGCATTAGTCACTACCGCTCGAATGCTGATTTTGGAGAAATGGAGTTCTGCTCAATAATTATTGTGTAAGTGATTTCAAAAGTTTAGGTCAATGTGATCTAAATTTGTAAGCACCAAATGAATTGTAATGAACTAAAAAATAGTTTTCAAACTTAAATTTAAGCAGACGATTGTTAATCTAAAGATTAAATGAGTTTCAATAAGGAAAATAAAGTAATGACATCGCAATAGTGATCGTCTAAATTTTCGATGTTCAAAAGGTTTCTTAATAATGTCAATGGTCTCAAAGGTTATCTTTAAATGCGCACAATGTGAGCACTCTCTCGATTTTCATGCAAAGTCCAAGAAGCAAAGATAAGTGGTGGTAAAGTTTCTCTCATGACTGTCACCTATAGAGTTGAGCTTGATGGAGGTGGAGCATGTATTAGGGAGCTTCATCTTTAGGTCCTCAAAGTGAGATGAGGCTCTTGATTACATTCAAAACACTCTATGGAGATTACAACAAATCTCTTAACGGATTCTTTTGCCGTTAACAATGGCTTATTTGTTGACCAACATGTAATGATTTTCCTTTAATAATTCATGATTTTGCTATCTAGAATCTTTATTTAGTTGCTAAAGATAATCATTGATTATAACTAATGAAAATTTTGTCAATGATTGACAAAATCTATCTAGTACTTGTTATGTTAACTATTTCTTTACTGAAATATTACATAGTTAAAATAGAAGAAAACATAAATTTTGACATCGATGAGATTCGAACCTCTACTGATCACTTGGTTACATAAGTAATGGTAAAAAACATTCACTTATACCATTGAAATAGTGAAAATATGAGAGTTTAACCTTCTCTTTATATATGGGCATTTTTGGCATTATCTTAGCCAACAAGAATAGCTGATAATTTAGTCCCACATTAATTGTTTCAAAGAGTTTTGGATGTATATAAGTTTGGGTGCTCTTATACATACAAGTTCCTTTTCCCATAAACAAAATGGCTAGAACCATCTAGGGGAAGGCTAAATCGGGTGGTCCACCCACAAGTACACACGTGTGATGAGATTATACCTTGCCCCCATACACCAATTTGACTCAAGTGATGTGGAAGGTGAGTGACACACTTTATATGGGTTCCTTGAGCCACTTGAGTCCAGCTCACGGTTTCGTTCAATTTGGGTCTACCCCCTTGAGCACAATGCCCTTTGGGTCAATTATTGACTACCAATTGGCGAGCAAGTTGCCCCATTTTTAATATGTATTTATTTATTTTATTTTTCTTTATTTAAATATGAAAACATGAATATAAAAATCACATAATTAAAGATAAATTCATAATAATGTAAAAACTATTTTTCTCAATTTAAAGTAAATTAAGTTATTTTTCATGAGTTAATGTATAAAATATATTATTAAACTAACTATCAAACTCATGATAATAAATACTTATTACACCTGCTAACTTGGATCATTACTAGCGACTTAGCAATGTTTTATCATTAAATCATTCCTTCAAAACATGTATTCTAATTTTTTCCTTAAAAACTCATTCTTAAATCTTAAATCACAGCCATTATAAAAGGTAAAATCATTAACTCTACAATCCTTGAATATAAGTAGCACCATTATACCCCAAAATGAATACTCACATTTTAATGTTAGAAAGAATTGTTTAAAGTTGATGAATCATCACATGGTTCAAAATCACAAGATACAATTTGAAAAGAGTTATAGATCTTTGTGTTTTACACTCCTCGAAATGACATACTTGATCTAATTTAGCCTTGTTTATGAATTCAGCCTTCCTCTAATTCGTAGTCATCCTCCCCCTATTTGTCTTAAATAACCATCTAGTACCTAGATTCATCATCCAATCCACATTCTAACTTTTGGTCATGGGTTTGAAGATTACATCTCCTCTCTAATTGGTTTGCATGGGATTACAAGTAGAAGATAGAATATGAGAATTAATTTTCACTTCCCCTTTTTATGACATATTTTTGTCCTCTTCTTTTCTTTTTCTTTGTTCTTCTCTTTGTCTATGTCCACTATCTAAGAATCTACGTGTTATTACACTCTACTAGAGCAATTGTTCAACAAATGTACTGTTGATTATTGGGCTCAACCCATTGAGAATTTCACCTCAAAACTCTTTTCTAAATTTACAGCTCTAGAAGGTCAATAGTTTATTACAAGCTTCAACTCTTTTGAATGATTAAACATCAATTTAATCATTATTTTTTCCCCAAAAGTATTATATAGTATTTCACCATGTATTATTTTTGGATGAAGGCATTGACTTAGGACAAGTTTGGAAACTTGATGCAGAAGATGATGGTAAAGACACAATTCTTGCTATCCTCTTCCTATAAGGAAGTTGACTGGATGTAAAAAAAGTTATTGGCTTAAATTGAATTCCTTGACTCATCTTCTTGTTTTTTCACTAGCAAAGAAAAGCTCTTGAATCCACATAGAATGTTTTTTGTAAAATGCCAACAAGAATTTTGAGATGGTCAAAAGTGATGAATTAGAACACATTAACTACTGAAGAGGTGTTAATTTATAAAGAGACTTCATTGAAAAACTCTCATATTGTCTTTAGTTGCAATATATTTAAATTCTAAAGCTATTTAAATATTTAAATGACTGAAAGGTAATAATACATGAACTATAGACTTCAAATATCCTCTGAAATAAATCAATACATGCTACCACTAAATACAAAAATATATTTTTGAAGCTTATCAATTTGACTAAGTCCAATAAAGATTAGTTAACATCAAAATATAATTGATAATAAATCTCAAAATAAACTAATGAGTTAAGAATCAAAATTTATCCAAATAATCTCAAACGTATTTTGATCATCTAGTAGACACATTGATCATGATCTCCAAATAGAAAATCATAACTTCAATGTTGTAAAATATTTAAAATTATTTTCAAAGTGATATTTATTAAAATTCATAAATAGTTGACTAGTAGTTGTTTGATTCCAATTCAATAGATTAATTTGATATCCAGACTATATGAAAGTAATGATTTCTAAACATGGGTATTTGGTGTACTAAGTTAACTTTTATACAGATTTTATCTCATTAATTCTCTCTGATTATGGAGGGCTAATCATTACTTTCCCACATTCACAGTTTCTATAAATATTATGAAACAATAATTTCAAGTGGTAAAATCTACTAAATTTGGGAATTAAATATTATGAGATTCACATGCATTGTTTGGGTTACTATTTGAATATTTTTTATTAATACTCTAAATTCATTCTGAGTTTATATTCATTTACATATAAACTCATACATAAATAATAGTTATTTATAAATTAAGCACATAGATGTTAAATATAAATTAATATTTTAATTTATCTCGTAGGTGTATGTCATTATCAAAATATTATATATTTAATATTCTAACATATTTATTTCAATGAGCCAAGATAGATAATTCTAAGCCCATCTCCACACCCATTAATACATTATTAATACATGTAAATATTAATACTATTTCCAACCATGTATAATTTTATTTATATAGAAGACATGTGGAGGTTTTCAGGACCTTAATATTTTTCATTCATATATTGAATTTGTAGTTAATTGGACATGTCAGTTCATGTACGACCTACAGATAAATTATCAAATACAACATGTATTCTCTAAAGAAAGTTATCAAACATAGTTTACTTTGATGGTACTTTAGTCTTTAACTTGGTACTTTAAATAGTGCAAGTTAAGTTGGGTTTTGATAGCGTTCAATGAACCACAAACAAGTACCTTATTTTCTTAAGGTACAACTTATGTCATTAAGATGTAAGAAGTATGTCCAAGTCTTAGATCTGGCACCAAAGTATAACACAAAGATAGTTGCAGATCACATTATAAAGTTAATTTGGATGTGTTCATTTCTACATTGACTTCATATTTTATGTGTGAGTAACTGGTATCAAAACAAATCCTAGTATTCTTGGTCTCCACAAAGGACTAAGAAGCAAATATTCTTACTAAAAGACTCTCAAGTAGTCTCTTCTTGAGAGATCATCACAATATGATATATTAACTTGGTTTGATTGGGTGTTGATGCAGGACGGGACGAGAACTCTTGTACATGAAACTCAAGACCCGTGATGGGGCAGTCGGACCGATCTGATAAGAATGTATGGATCCTAGACTCTAGGTCTGACCACCTAACCTAAGTACAGGCAGGCGTACCAATATGTACTATCAACCTAGGACAACCCGGGAAACACTCGACAATGGTAAGTGTGAGACCCTCTCGGTCTACATCTGGACAGACGGCGGAACGGTTGTCGTGAAGTAGCCTAGGGCTGTAGCTCACAAACGGTGACGAGTCTGACGCAGCGTCAGAAGTCACGATCCTATAACCCGTCCTATCCTATCTACGTTCTCTAGATGGCAGTGGAAATGAGCCGAGAAAACCCTTCGAAAGATAATTAAACTTAAGTAAGAAGGGGGTACGGAGCTAACCTTCGGGGCTGCATAGCCTGGTGGGTCGTGATGGAGCAGAGACTCGACGTAAGTAGAGACGTCTGGTGAAGAGCGATGCTCAGCGTCGACGATTGGTCCTGGTCGAGAGCCGTAGTAGTCGTCGTCGTAAGGCGTGGTGTGGTCGGCGTGGGCGTGGGCCCACTGGTGGGCTGAAGGGCACGCTAGCGAGAGCGCACGGCAAGCTGCGTAGTGTGCCTTGGGCATGTGGGCAGTGGCGCCAGGTGGGTGTGCAGGCCGTAAGAGCCGGCGCAGGGGGCACGTGCAGCGGCGGCGCTTCGGCGGGAATGCCGAGCATCGGTGGTTGGGCGAAAGCCCAACCGTCGCCGGAAGGATCGGCCTTCTCTGGCAGCGTCAGGAAGTGGAGCAGAGGAAGGAGACGATCCCGGCCGACGATACCAAGGAGGGTTGAGCCCTCCTGGTCTAGGCGGCGCCGGAAACGGCGCGACGGCAGCAGATCGTCGGGAAACTCCAGCGAGGGCCTGTGCAGAGCTTGGACTAGATCTGGCTCATCAGCACGGCTGCAGGGTCTCTCTTGACGTCAGCGGCAGGTAGGCGTTCGTTGGCGAACAGCCAGCGACTAGGCGGAGTGGCGGATGGTGGCTCCGGCGAGTTTATGGTGGAGTTCCAAAGGAAGAGGGGGTAGTCGAACTAGGAGTCAATAGACTCCGGTGGAGTGCTCGGCGACGGCTTGTAAGGAGGCGAAGCAAGCCCCTTTCGTCACAACGGTGTGACAGGGTTCCAACAGAGGTGGCGGCGGTTGCAGCAGCAACCGCGACTGTTTCATCCAGTGAAGGCAGCGATCTCACAGGCGGCAATGAAGATGTCCGGTGGTGACAGTTGGTCTCAGGCGGTGGCGGGACTTCTTAGGCAGCAGCGTCACGATGAACGAAGTCCTTAAAGGGTATCGACGGCCTTCCTCTCCCTCCTTCCCTCCCTATCCTAGGTCACGATGAAGGTAACTCACAAACGATAATCTCTCACAAAATTCGGCGCTTCTTGTTGAGGGGGGGTCCTACCTCCCCTTATATAGGGCCCACAAGTGGGCTAAGTGGAGGGGGGGCCACTTGAGGCCCTCAAGCCCATAAGCCACAAAAAGGCTACAAAAGGGCTTATTGGGCCTCTAAAAGAGAGATCCAATAAGCTCCCCTAAAAGGAGAAAGAGGAGGGCCCTCATACGGTGCTTAAGTGGGCCTCAAATGAAGACCTAAATAAGCCCCAAAAGAGGCCCAAAAGGAAAGACACATAGGTCCCCCCCCTTAGAGTTTTAATTGGGCCTGAAAAGAGAGACCCAATTAAACCATAAAGAAAGGGAGACACAAACAACAACATACACATAGAATTGGGCCCGCTAACACAAACGCGAGGCCCAACAAGTGTGAAAATACAAAGAAAGATAAGGGTGAGCTCGAGCTTGTCGTCGTCGCAGAGGTGGAATGTCATCGTCCCGAAGGGCTAGGCCGTGTAGCGAAAGCCAAGCTCCTTTGTCTTCGTGCGTCGATCGGGCTGAACTCGAACTGCCGGTGTCTCCTGAGCTGATGGAGATGGGTCCCACTCACCATCAATCCTCTCGGGGTCGAAAGAACTTGACTCCGACAAGTTGGCAAGTGAGGAAGGCAAGGGCTCCAGCAGGTCTGGTCGTAGTCGCTCCAGGTCCGCCTCCAAAATCCAAGCATCGTCCTCCGACGGGCGACCCTGCCAACGTACTAGGAATCTCTGTGAAACTCTATCCCCTGTAAAGTCAATTACCTCTTGAAGAATCTCCTTGACTCGCTTGTGCCAATCAGGAGGTAAAATGGGGGAAGTGGACTCCATGGCAAACTCTCTCACAAAGAAGGGGCCGATAGATGAGGGCTCGATGTCAGATGAAAGAGGTGGGGCTTGGTGCTACGCCAGATCCGCCACGTTGAACATGGAGCTAATCCCCCACGAAGGAGGGATGTCGACGGCATAGGCATTCTGGCCTATCTAGGAAAGAACACGAAACGGGCCGGCGCTACGAGCGTGAAGCTTCGTAGCAGAGCTAGGAGCGTAACGTTTGGGCCTCATCCTCACCATAACTTGGTCTCCCACCTGGAAGATCCGGGGTCGACGATGCATATCGGCAGCCTGCTTGTACAATGCATTCTGACTCTGTATCCTATCGTGGATGTCTTGATGCAACTGACTAACATGTTGGGCGAATGCGACACCATGCTCAGAAACTCTAACATGAGGGTCCAAGGGTACTAGATCTAGGGGCTTGCGGGGTGCTAAGCCCTGTGCGATCTCGAAAGGGCTCATGCCAGTGGTACAGTTGGTCGAGGAGTTATAGGCAAACTCGGCGCATGGTATGATCAAATCTCAAGTGGTTAAGCTCTTGCCGACTAATGACTGAAGTAGATTCCCTAAGCTACAATTGACAACCTCGGTCTGGCCATCAGTCTATGGATGGTAAGTAGTAGAGAACTTGAGCTTAGTCCCAAGTAAGTTCTAAAGAGTCCTCCAGAAGTGGCTGGTAAACTGTATGTCATGGTCTAAGACTATAGACTTGGGTAGTCCATGAAGGTGCACAATCTCTCTAAAGTAGAGGCTAGCAACCTTGGAGGCGTCGGAGGTTTTCGAACATGACACGAAGTGTGCCATCTTTGAAAACCTATCGACAACCACCATGATCAAGTCGTGTCGTCGTGCAGTGCGTGGGAGTCCCAAAACGAAGTCCATGCTGACATCGTCCCATGGGCGGGTCCGCACTGGAAGTGGCATGTAGAGTCTAACATTCTTCTTTACTTGCTTGGCAAGTGCGCACACTCGACACTGAGCGACGATGTTCCCTACATCACGCTTGAGGGTCGGCCAGTAGAACTGGTACTCAACTGCTACGATGGTCTTATTGCGACTGAAATGGCCGAATAGACCTCTTGTGTGACATTTCCAAGTGAGGAAGTCACGGAGGGATGTGCATGGAACACACAATCTGCTCCTAAAGAACAAACATCTGTTGACCACAAGGAAGTCCTTATGATCTCGGGATGGACCATCCAAGAGTGCTCGTAGAACGTGGCCGAAGTCCGGGCAATCTGCATAAGAATTCGGTAGGGACTCAAATCCTATCACCTGAACCTTCACGAGGTTCAGCAAGTAGACTCGTCGACTGAGGCATTTGCCATCACGTTCTCCTTGCCCTTCTTGTGGCGAAGGATGAAGGTGAAGTCCTACAAGTACTCGACCCATTGTGCGTGTTGATTGCTCAACTTCCACTGAAAGTGCAGATACTTCAAGGCCTCATGGTTCGAGAAGAGCACAAACTCCTTATAAAGGAGGTAATGACGCCAGTGTTTGAGAGCCTAAATGTCGGCATAGAACTCACGATCGTAAGTGGAGTATCTAAGTCTCACGTCATTTAGCTTCTCACTGAAGTACACTATGGGATTGCCTTCCTAGCTAAGGACACCCCTAATACTGACACCCGAGGCGTCACAGGCGACCTCAAATACCTTGCCAAAAGTCGGGTAGGCGAAGTATCGGTGCCTAAGTGATAAGAGCCTTCACTCGATCGAAGGCCTGTTCAGCTGCCTCTGTCCAAAGGAAGGTCTCCTTCTTGAGGCAATCAGTAAGTAGAGCGGTAACAGAACTAAAGTCCCAAATGAAGCAACGGTAGAATGTCGCTAGTCCAATGAAGCTCCGGATGTTGTGCATGCTACATGGCCGTGGCCAGGTGACTATCGCGCGGACCTTTTCGGGGTCTGTGGAAACTCCTCACTTAGAGACGACAAAACCAAGGAACGTAACCTCAGAAGTGAAGAAACTACACTTCTTAGGATGGGCATAAAGCTTCTCCTATCAAAGTGCCTCAAACACCTATCATAAGTGCTGGAGTGGGAATCTCGGGTACCGCTGTAGATCAAGATGTTGTTGAAGTATACTACAATGAACTTGCCAATGAATGGGTGTAAAACCTCGTTCATTAGCCTCTAGAATGTACTGGGCGCGTTGGAGAGGCCAAATGGCATGACCCTCCACTCGTACAGGCCCTCCTTGATCTTGAAGGTGGTCTTCCACTCGTCCCCTAGACGTATCATGACCTAATGATAACCATTGCGTAGATCTATCTTTGAAAAGATAGTGGCTTCTATCATCATGTCAAATAAGTCCTATAATCGCGGGATCAGAAAACGGTATTTAACCGTTATCCTATTGATCACGCGACTGTTGCAGCACATGCGCCAAGTGCCATCCTTCTTCGGCGCTAGTAATGCAAGCACGGCATAGGGACTAAGGCTCAGTTGGATGAGTCCCTTGTCCAAAAGCTCTTGTACCTATCAGCTAAGCTCCTCATACTTGGCCAACTCCATGCGATAGTGCGGCAGGTTTGGGAGTGATGCTCCGAGAACCAAGTCGATAGCATGCTGAATGTGCCTCAATGGAGGCAGCTCTCTGGAAAGCTCCTCTATGAGTACATCGGCGTACTCCGATAATATACATTCGACTTCTGGAGAAGGCGGGGTAAGGGTCGTGTCGTCTCGCGTATCCAAAGTGAGAGCGAAGCACGTCAGGGATCCATCTATGTCCGACGTGATCTCGTGCTGAAAGGCAAGTCCCTTCATCACGATTAACCCAATATGTGACTTAGGGTCACGCTTCGGCGCAGGCTTGTTGATATGCGGATACCAAACAAGTCGGCGATCTCGATACATGAAAGAGCAAGTGTTTGATGCCATCGATTTTCATCAGAAGGACATCACACAAGATGTGCTCATCATAGGTGCTCACCCTAAGTGGCACTTGGCACTGTCAACAAATGGGTAGTGCGGTGGCGTCTATCCACAATACGTCGTAAGGGGCTGGATGATTGATAGTACTCAGCCCTGCCCTCTAGAAGACTTAGTCTGACACGGCATTGACGCAACTGCCACTGTCCACGATCACCTTGCACGCGTGTCCGTTGATCTTCACATAGGTGTAGAAGATCGACGTGCGAAAGGAATCGTCTGTCGTAGGCAAAGATGTGGGCATAGTCGTCCTCGGTGCCGAGGTGATCTCTCTAGCTGCCGTGGTGTCAGGCTGTGGTGCAGGAACCGCGTCTCGAGATGGACACTGGACAGCGATGCTGACCAATCTCCTCAATGAAGTGCTCGTCAATGAGGTAGCGAGAGAGGCAGCCTCAGTTGCTGGTGCGGTGGCTGGCCGGATCTGGATGTAGCCAATTAAATTAGGAGTGTCATCACACTCCTCGGCCAAACCCTCGTTAGCAATGTAGACATCATCGCCTACAGGGACGTCATCCTCATGTGAACCTCTACCCAATTCTTCGATCTCTATGAGGAGATTTAAAGATGGGCATTGGCTCATCCGGTGCACCTTACCCTTACACTTGCAACAAGTGATATGGGCTTGGGACGCGGCCGTAGCACGATCGGATGCGTCAGCTGGTGGCGGACGTGGGGGTGGTGCAGACCCTACTGATGTCGCCGGTGTAGTCTGTCCGTTCCCTACGCTAGTACGCATCGGTGCTGTCATCGGTGTCTGTGCAGATCGCGTGGACGCGATCTTCGTGGTGATCGGAGGTGGGGTGAACTATGTGTCTTCGGCGGGTCGCTCCATATGCTCTACTATGCGATAGGCCTCATCTACTTCAAACGGGTTGCCTTTCAGCACCTTGTTCCGAAGCTGCGAACTAAGTCCGTCGGTGAAAATGCCCAAAACCACACGTGAATCCTCGACAAAGCATTACCTCATGCGGCACTCCTCAAAAGCCTGAATATAGTCTCGGATAGGCATCTTGCCCTATCGGAGGTCTAACCAATTGAGGAACAGCATCGACTCGTATTGTCGAGGAACATACTTGTTCCTCAAGCGTGATGTCATATCAACCCATGGTGTGATGGGCTGCCCTTGTCAGTGTGCCGTGTAGCTCTTGTTTTCTCAAAAGATCTTGGCCTGTCTGCCAAGTCTCAGCTCCGCATACTCCACGCATAAATCATCATCCATGTGGTACCACCGGAAATAGGAGTTCATACTAGACTCCCAATCTATGAAGTCCTTGGACTCACAGGAGCCATCAAAGACTGCCACATTGGCTCGTACACTTTTCAGTATGCGGGCCCTGTGATCCTCACGTCGCCTATCCCGATCATCCAATCGATCGGCCCTATGGTCACCACTAAAGTCACGGTGGGGAGGACTTGAGTAACGCCCTTGATTGTAGTAACGATCTTGGTGGGCATCCTAGGGTGCTCAGTGAAAGTTCGGAGCACGCTGGTAGTTGCGGTAGGAATCATTGCGATCTCGTGGCTGACACTCTGCTTGCTGATCGAGCTCCTCTCGTCAGGAAGGGTCAGCTCTGTAACTTGGAAGGTCTCTCTTGTCGTGTCCTTGGTCGCGTCTGTGGGGTCAATAGTCCTCGTAGTGGGGTCGGGTGGCGGTGGTGGTGGACGTGGGAGATCGTCCTTACGAGCAAGGTAGACCGGCTCGTGGTGATCATAAGTATCTTGTGGCCAACGACCGCCCAATCAATCGTGGCCATCGTCGTGATGTGGTGCGTTGCAGTGACGAAGATTTCCTCGACGATGATCGTGATCGAGGTACTGGTGATCATATGGATCACTATTGGGGCTCATAGGCCGGCGGGGCTCGCGATGCTCTTGATATGCCTATGTAATAGGGGGTGCGGTCAGTGGTGCGACCGGATACGCAACCAGCAGTGGAGCCGGTGGCGGTGGGCCATGAGCTGCGGCTACAAAGGTAGCTCGCTCCAGATGTTCAATAGCCTAGGTCATGCTACACATGACATCATCTGGAAGGGAGCGCGCTCCATCCCTCGAAGGGTACCGGGGCGAAGGTTGCCATCGGCCACCTCTACCACGACCCCTAGTACTCTTCGGTGGATAGTAGGGCACGGATTCCTTCCCAGCTCGGCGGCTCATAGCCGCAGGCGGCTGGGACCGCCCTGATGCCTCTCCGGCCGACATAGCGCTCAGAGTCTCCCGGGGTCGGGAGGGGTCTGGTACCAAATCCGTCGATCTCGACGAAGATGGTGGACTCGTGTCCACTCTAGCTACTCAGAGAGTAGCGGGATCTAAGGCTTCATACGAGTGCCGTGATGATGGTTGACGTGACTTAGTCGTTGTATATTAAATCACGCAAATATAAAATTTATAAAACTAGAAAATACGAATTTTCAGATATTTAGAAGTATTTCTGAAGAAATATATCAATTATAATTCAATAAAACTTCCAAAAATAGTAGTAATTTTCCAAGTCGATCACAAGGATTTAATATAATATATGGTAATTATTCAGAATTTTTCTCAATGAATACGATTTTCTATGAATTGTATACTAGGAAATGAAAAGGAAATATATTTAAAATTCACGAAAAAGGGAAATAAGGGTGCGGACGTCAGGATGACGTCAGCGCCCGGCGAACGCGAATCGGGCAGAAATAGAGTTCCGCTCGGCAATTCTTACGTAAGCGATTATAGATGATTTAATTAATCAAATTAAGATCTATAAAAGCTGGAAGAATCGTAATAGAACAAAGTATATTTTGGTAAATTAAAATCACAAAAAATATCACTAAATGAAGTGTAAAGTAAGTTGGAAGTAGGAAAACAGAGTTCCGGCATCACGACGGCAATGCGTCGGCGATGCACCGGAATTCTGAGTGTTCGGGAGGATTGTCGTGCAGTGTCCACGGCCTCGAAGGCTCTCCTTAGACAAGGACGACGTGGGCAATCTCAAGATCTTCTCGTAAAGTCTAGAGATTAATGAAATGGGTCGTTGAGTCGTCTCCGGCGGCTGTCACCCGGCAGAGCGGAAAAACGGCGACTTTGCGGCTCTCCTGCGGCTGTCACCCGACGGAAAGGAGCTGGATGGAGGTGGGGCGCATGTCAGGGAGCTTCATCCTCAAGTCCGCGCAGCAAGAGGAGGCTCTTCATCGCATCTGGTACGCTCTCAGGAGGTGGCGACTCGTCTCCCGGCAGATCGTCCTCTTCCCGACGACGGCTTGTTCGTCGATCAATCAGAGATGATTTACTCGATGGATTCGCGATCCTTTTATTGCGAATCGTTCAGCAATTTTAGTAGCAATGCTCCGTGAATCGCATTGACGAGATTTTCGCCGATGATCTAGCGATTCTGGTTGCTTAATCCTTCACCAGCGATCTGCAGGAAACTCGCGATAATCAGATAAAAAGATATGAATTTTGACTCTAGGAGGATTCGAACCCGTGCCGGTTGTCCGCCCCTTTTGAGGAAGGTGTGACGTGGGTTTAGTCCCACATCGGTTGTGCGCCGATTTTTCAGGCGAATAAATAGTAATGTTAGCTTTTTAAGCAAAGTCCCTTCTCTCGTGTGTACGACCACTCCTTGCCCCACAGCTGGTTAGCCACCGGTGACGTGGAAGGGGAGTGGCGCACATGTGCCCCTATCGGTCCAAGCCGCTCGAGCCCCTACTCGCGGCTACTCCCCGACTGAGCTTCCGACCCGCTTGCGGGCCCGGCTAGCCGGCGGGTCCCCCCATTTTGCAATATTTTAGTTTTATTTCTTTTTCTTCATTTATCTCAAAAGTAAGACTATAAAAATCATATAAATTCGTATAAAATCACATAATTACCCAAAAAATCACATTAATCAACTGAAAACCACTTTTCACACTTTAACACAAATATAAGTCTATTTATCACAAGTTAAGGCTAAAACTATATTATTTACTAATTATTAACTCATGATAATGAAGACTTATCACGCCGTTTCTAGCGCCGCCTAGACCGAGAGGGCTCAACCCTCCTTAGTATCATCGGCTGGATCGTCTCCTTCCTTTGCTCCACTTCCCAGCGCCGCCAGAGAAAGCCGATCCTTCCAGTGACAGTTGGGTTTCCGCCTAATCGCTGATGCTCGGCATTCCCGTCGAAGTGCCGCTGACGCTCGGCATTCCTACCGAAGCGCTGCTAACGCTTGACATTCCCGCCGAGAGCCGCTGACGCTTGGCATTCCCGCCGAAGCGCCGCTGACACTCGGCCTTCCCCCCGAAGCACCGCCGCCACACACGCCCCGCGCACCCACCCGGCACCGCCACCCGCGTGCCCTGAGGTACACCACGTGGCTTGCTGCATGCGCTTGCTAGTGTGCCCTTCGGCCCACCAGCGTGCCCACGCCCGCGCCGACCATGCCACGCCTTACGACGACGACTACGGTGACTTCTCGACTAGGACTGACCGTCGACGCTGAGCGTTGCTCTTCCCTAGAGGTCTTTGCTTACGTCGAGTCTCTACTCCATCACGACCCGTCGGGCTACACAGCCTTGAAGGTTAGCTCCGTACCCCTTCCTCTTAAGTTCAATTATCTTTCGAAGGGTTTTCTCGGCTCATTTCCACCGCCATCAAGAGAACGTAGACAGGATGGGACGGGTTATCAGGTTGTGACTTCCGATGCTGCGCCAGACTTGTCACCACTCGTGAGCTGCAGCCCTAGGCTACTTCACGATGATCGTTTCGCTGTCTATCCGAATGTGGACTGAGAGGGCCTCACACTTACCATCGTCGAGTGTTTCCCCGGGTTGTCTTGAGTTGATCGTGCATATTGGTATGCTTGCTTATACTAAGGTTAGGTGGTCAGACCTAGAGTCTAGGGTCCATACATTCTTATCCGATCTCCTTTTCACTGCTCCATCTCAGGTCTTGAGTTTCATTGATTAGGTACAAGGGTTCTTACCCCGTCCTACATCAAATTGGTATCAAAGTCAGGTTGGGTTACCACCTAACCTCGGTCCCCTAAGGATGCTCACTGAGCTTCCATACCACCAGTAGACCATTCATATAGGATTACATTGGCATCTAGGCACCCGTAGGACCGAGCAATGGTAGAGACATGCTCAGCCAGAGCTCGAGGAGGTTCACCATCATCACGGCACTCGTGCGAGGCATCAGATCCCGCTACTCCCTAAGTAGCTAGAGTGGACACGAGTCCACCATCTCCATCGAGACCGACAGATTCGATACCAGACCCCTCCCGACCCCGGGAGACTCTGAGTCCTATGTCAGCCAGAGAGGCATTAGGGTGGCCCCAGCCGCCCACGGCTACGAGCCGCCGAGCTGGGAAGGAATCTATGCCCTACTATCCACCGAAGAGTACTAGGGGTCGTGACAGAGGTGGCCGAAGGCAACCTTCGCCCCGGTACCCTTCGAGGGATGGAGCACGCTCCCTCCCAGATGATGTCATGTGTAGCTTGACCCAGACTATTGAGCGTCTGGAGCGAGCTACCTTTGTAGCTGCAGCTCATGGCCCACCGCCACCGGCTCCACCGTCGGTCACATATCCGATTGCACCACTGACTGCACTGCCTATTACAGAGGCATATCAGGAGCATCACGAGCCCCGCCGGCCTGTGAGCCCCTATAGTGATCCATATGATCACCAGTACCTCGATCATGATCATCATCGAGGGAATCTTCGTCGCCGCAACACACCACGTCACGACGATGGCCACGATCGATTGGGCGGTCATTGGCCACAGGATACTTATGATCGCCGCGAGCTGGTCTACCCTGCTCGTAGGGACGATCTCCCACGTTCGCCACCACCACCACCCCGACCTCACTATGAGGACTATCGACCCCACGGACGCGACCAGGGACACGACAAGAGAGACCTTCCGGGTTACAGAGCTGACCCTTCCTGACGAGAGGAGCTTGATCGGCAAGCAGAGCATCAGCCACGAGATCGCGATGATTCCTACTGCGACTACTAGTGTGCTCCCGACTTTCACCAAGCACCCCAGGATGCCCACCAGGATCGTTACTACGATCAAAGGCGTTACCCAAGTCCTCCCCATTGTGACTTTGGTGGTGACCATAAGGCCGATCAATTGGATGATCGGGACAGACGACGTGAGGATCACAGGGCCCGCATACTGAAAAGTGTGCGCGCCGATGTGGCACTCTTTGATGGCTCCTATGCGCCCAAGGACTTCATAGATTGGGAGTCTAGTATGAACTCCTATTTTCGATGGTACCGCATGGATGATGATTTATGCGTGGAGTATGCGGAGCTGAGACTTGGCAGACAGGCCAAGATCTTTTGAGAAAACAAGAGCTACACGGCACACTGACGAGGGCAGCCCATCACACCATGGGTTGATATGGCATCACGCTTGAGGAACAAGTATGTTCCTCGACAATACGAGTCGATGCTGTTCCTCAATTGGTTAGACCTCCGATAGGGCAAGATGCCTATCCGAGACTATATTCAGGCTTTTGAGGAGTGCCGCATGAGGTGTTGCTTTGTCGAGGACTCACGTGTGGTTTTGGGCATTTTCACCCACGGACTTAGTTTGCGGCTTCGGAACGAAGTGCTGAAAGGCAATCCATCCGAAGTAGACGAGGCCTACCCCATTGTAGAGCATATGGAGCGACCCGCCGAGGACACACAATTCACCCCACCTCTGATCACCATGAAGATCGCGTCCACGCGATCTGCATAGACATCAACGACAACACTGACGTGTACTAGCATAGGGAACGGACAGACTACACCGGCAATATCAGTAGGCTCTGCACCACCCTCACGTCCACCACCAGCCGACGCATCCAATCGTGCTATGGCCGCGTCCCAAGCCCATATCACTTGTTTCAAGTGTAAGGGTAAGGGGCACCGGATGAGCCAATGCCCATCTTCAAATCTCCTCATAGAGATCGAAGAATTGGGTAGAGGTTCACACGAGGCTGATGTCCCTGTAGGCGATGATGTCTACATTGCTGACGAGGGTTTGGCCGAGGAGTGTGATGACACTCCTGATTTAATTGGCTACATCCAGATCCGGCCAGCCACCGTACCAGCAACCGAGGCTGCCTCTCTCGCTACCTCATCGACAAGCACTTCATCGAGGAGATTGGTCAGCATCGCTGTCCAGCGTCCATCTCGAGATGCAGTTCCTACACCACAGCCTAACACCACGGCAGCTAGAGAGATCACCCCGGCACCGAGGACGACTATGCCCACATCTTTGCCTACGACAGACGATTCCCTTTGCACGTTGACCTTCTACACCTATGTGAAGAGCAACGGACACGCCTACAAGGTGATCATGGACAGTGACAGTTGCGTCAATGCTGTGTCAGACCAGGTCTTGCAGAGGGTAGGGCTGAGTACTATCAGCCATCCAGCCCCTTACGACGTATTGTGGATAGACGCCACCACACTACCCATTCGTTGACAATGCCAAGTGCCACTTAGGGTGAGCACCTATGATGAGCACATCTTGTGTGATGTCCTTCCGATGAAAATTGACGGCATCATACTTGGACAGCCCTAGTTGTTTGACTATGACATCCAACTCATGGGAAGAGCAAACACTTGCTCTTTCATGTATCGAGATCGCCGACTTGTTTGGTATCCGCATATCAACAAGCCCACACCAAAGCGTGACCCTAAGTCACGTGTTGGGTTAATCGTGATGAAGGGACCTGCCTTTCAGCATGAGATCACGTCAGACATAGATGAATCCCCAACGTGCTTCGCTCTTGCTTTGGATATGCGAGACAACACGACCCTTACCCCGCCTTCTCCAAAAGTCGAGGGTATATTATCAGAGTACGCCGATGTACTCCCAGAGGAGCTTCCCAGAGACCTGCCTCCATTGAGGCACATTCAGCATGCTATCGACTTGGTTCCTGGAGCATCACTCTCGAACCTGCCGCACTATCACATGGAGCCGGCCAAGTACGAGGAGCTTAGTCGATAGGTACAAAAGCTTTTGGACAAAGGACTCATCCAGCCGAGCCTTAGTCCCTGCGCCATGCCTGCATTACTAGCGCCGAAGAAAGATGGCACTTGGCGCATGTGTTGCAACAGTCGTGCGATCAATAGGATAACGGTTAAATACCATTTTTTGATCCCACAATTACAGGACTTATTCGACATGATGATAGGAGCCACTATCTTTTCAAAGATATATCTACGCAGTGGTTATCATCAGGTCAGGATACGTCCAGGGGACGAGTGGAAGACTACCTTCAAGATCAAGGAGGGCCTGTACGAGTGGAGGGTCATGCCATTTGGCCTCTCCAACGTGCCCAGTACATTCCAAAGGCTAATGAACGAGGTTTTACACCCATTTATTGGCAAGTTCGTCGTAGTATACTTCGATGACATCTTGGTCTACAGCGATACTTGAGGCTCCAACCTCCAGCACTTACGACAAGTGTTTGAGGCACTTCGACAGGAGAAGCTTTATGCCCATCCTAAGAAGTGTAGTTTCTTCACTTCCAAGGTTACGTTCCTCAGTTTTGTTGTCTCTGAGCGAGGAGTTTCCACGGACCCCGAAAAGGTCCGCACGATAGTCACCCGGCCATGGCCAGGCAGCATGCATGACATCCGGAGCTTCATTGGACTAGTGACGTTCTACTGTCGCTTCATTCAAGACTTTAGTTCCATTACCACTCTGCTTACTGATTGCCTCAAGAAGGAGACCTTCCTTTGAATAGAGGCAGCTGAATAAGCCTTCGATCGGGTGAAGGCTCTTATCACTCAGGTACTGATACTTCACCTACCTGACTTTGGCAAGGTATTTGAGGTCGCCTGTGACGCCTCGAGTGTCGGTATTGGGGGTGTCTTTAGCTAGGAAGGCCATCCCATAGAGTACTTCAGCAAGAAGCTGAATGATGTGAGGCTTTGATACTCCACTTACAATCGTGAGTTCTACGCTGTCATTTAGGCTCTCAAACACTGGCGCCATTACCTCCTTTATAAAGAGTTTGTGCTCTTCTCGGACCATGAGGCTTTGAAGTATCTGCACTCTCAGCGGAAGTTGAGCGATCGACACACACGATGGGTCGAGTACTTGCAGGACTTCACCTTCGTCCTTCGCCACAAGAAGGGCAAGGAGAACGTGATGGCAGACGCCCTCAGCCAATGAGTCCACTTGCTGAACCTCATGAAGGTTCAGGTGACAGGATTTGAGTCCCTACCGGATTCGTACGCAGATTGCCCGGACTTCGGCCACGTTCTACGAGCACTCTTGGATGGTCCATCCTGAGATCATAAGGACTTCCTTGTGGTCAACGGATGTCTATTCTTTAGGAGCAGATTGTGTGTTCCACGCACATCCCTCCGTGACTTCCTCACTTGGGAATGTCACGCAGGAGGTCTATCCGGCCATTTCGGTCGCGATAAGACCATCGCAGCAGTCGAGTACCAATTCTACTGGCTGACCCTCAAGCGCGATGCAGGGAACATCGTCGCTCAGTGTCGAGTGTGCACACTCGCCAAGCAGGTAAAGAAGAATGTTGGACTCTACATGCCACTTCCAGTGCAGACCTGCCAATGAGACGACGTCAGCATGGACTTCGTTTTGGGACTCCTGTGCACTGCACGACGACACGACTCGATCATGGTGGTCGTCAATAGGTTTTCAAAGATGGCACACTTCGTGCCATGTTTGAAAACCTCTAACACCTCCAAGGTCCCTAGCCTCTACTTTAGAGAGATTCTGCGCCTTCATGGACTACCCAAGTCTATTGTCTCAGACCATGACGTACGGTTTACCAACCACTTCTGGAGGACTCTTTGGAGCTTACTTGGACTAAGCTCAAGTTCTCCACTGCTTACCATCTATAGACTGACGGCCAGATCAAGGTCGTCAATCGTAGCTTAGGAAATCTACTTTAGTCATTAGTCGGCAAGAGCTTGACCACTTGGGATCTGATCATATCACACACCGAGTTTGCCTATAACTCCTCGACCAACTATACCACTAGCATGAGCCCCTTCGAGATCGCACAGGGCTTAGCACCCTGCAAGCCCTTAGATCTAGTACCCCTAGACCCTCATGTTAGAGTTTCCGAGGATGGTGTCGCATTCGCCCAACATGTTAGTCAGTTGCATCAAGACATCCACGATAGGATACAGAGTCATAATGCATTGTACAAGCAGGCTGCCGATATGCATCGTCGACCTCGGATCTTTCAAGTGGGAGACCAAGTTATGGTGAGGATGAGGCCCAAGCGTTACGCTCCTGGCTCTGCTACGAAGCTTCACGCTCGTAGCGTCAGCCCGTTTCGTGTTCTTTCCCGAATAGGCGAGAACGCCTATGCCGTCGACATCCCTCCTTTGTGGGGGATTAGCTCCACATTCAACATGGCGGATTTGGCGTCGCACCAAGCCCCACCTCTTTCATCTAACATCGAGCCCTCATCTATCGGCCCCTTTTCTGAGAGAGAGTTTGCCATAGAGTCCACTCCCCTCATTTTACCTCTTGATTGGCACGAGCGAGTCGAGGAGATTCTTCAGGAGGTAATTGACTTTATAGGGAACGGAGTTTCGCAGAGCTTCCAAGTACATTGGCAGGGTCACCCGTCGGAGGACGATGCTTGGATTTTGGAGGCAGACTTGGAGCGACTACGACCAGACCTGCTAGAGCCCCTGCCTTCCCCACTTGCCAACTCGTCGGAGTCGAGTTCTTTCGACCCCGAGAGGATTGATGGCAAGCGGGACCTGTCTCCATCAGCTCAGGAGACACCGGCAGTCCAAGTTCAGCTCGATCAACGTGCAAAGACAAAGGAGCCTGGCTTTTGCTACATGGCCAAGCCCTTTGGAATGACGACATTCCACCTCCGTGACGACAACGAGCTCGAGGTCACCCTTATCTTTCTTTCTATTTTCACGTTGACTTGTTGGGCCTCACATTTGTGTGTTAGCGAGCCCAATTCTGTGTGTGTGTTGTTGTTTGTGTCTCCCTTTCTTTAGGGTTTTATTGGGTCTCTCTTTTCAGGCCCAATTAAAACTCTAAGGGGGGGGACCTATGTGTCTTTCCTTTTGGGCCTCTTTTGGGGCTTATTTAGGTCTTCATTTGAGGCCCACTTAAGCACCATACGAGGGCCCTCCTCTTTCTCCTTTTAGGGGAGCTTATTGGGTCTCTCTTTTAGAGGCCCAATAAGCCCCTTTTGTAGCCTTTTTGTGGCTTATGGGCTTGAGGGCCTCAAGTGGCCCCCCCTCCACTTAGCCCACTTGTGGGCCCTATATAAGGGGAGGTAGGACCCTCCCTCAACAAGAAGCGCCGAATTTTGTGAGAGATTATCATTTGTGAGTTACCTTCGTCGTGACCTAGGATAAGGAGGGAAGGAGGGAGAAGAAGGCCGTCGATACCCTTTAAGGACTTCGTTCATCGTGACGCTGCTGCCTAAGAAGTCCCGCCGCCGCCTGAGACCAACTGTCGCCGCCAGA